TTTTTTTTTTTTTTTTTTTTTTTTTTTTTGTCAAATTGGTTATGGAAATGGTTTCCATGCTTGCACAGCGATGCGAATGAGAAAAACGTCCACGTTCTGGAGGCTACGGATTTGGACTATTCTCAAATTCCCACGTATGAAATAAAATTAGTGATTATTGGAAGTGAGTGAAAAAATTTCTGACGTGAACAGTGCTAGTTATTAAAAAGTTTTTTTAAGCAATTTAATGGTCTAATTAAATGTGGAAATAATATATAATTATAAAAAAATCTATTTATATAATACTAACAAAAAAGTTCAAAAGAAATATTTTGTGCCTCTCAATATACTTTTTTTAAAAAGTCAAACATTGAATAATTATTTAGAATATATATTAAATAAAAAAATGAAGAAATTAAAAGTAATTACAGAATAGGTATCTCTTCCTATTGGTACTTCATTTTTCTATTATAAAAAAACACACATTTTTATTTTTAAATATAAATAAATCTCAGTTATTTTTGTCTAATTTATACTTTTTCTAAAATATTTATTTTTTAATGTATGACTTTTTAACCGTATTATTTCTTTTGATATTTATAACAAATACATTTCAAGAAAAATTTTAGAAAATTAATAAAAATTAGTGTAGATAACTAATTTTTTAAACATGCCTAAAATTGATGTTTTTTGTTTTGTTTTTGCTTATAATAAAAATATAGGAAGTATAGATTAGTGGAAGAAAGACACTATGTCTTCTATTATTTAAGAAAAAAAAAGTGATTAATTAGAGATTTATGAAAAAAAAAGTTAAATAAAAATAATAATTGTTCCTACCTGAAGTTGGTCTGATGACGACTTCTTTGACGAGATTGGTGAATCTCTTTCGTTTTCACAGGTTAGGTATTTCAAGAAAGGGGTAATACTTGTAAAAGAGACTTTGATACTTAAGTTAGTTTTGGTAAATGTAAATGTCTTATATATATAGTGCATGTACCTGGATGATGGTTATGATTCTTTCTTTATGAAAATATCTCATCGGTTAAGATATGACGATAATAGTAAAAAAAAGTAGTTTGAAAGGAATTTTAATGACAAAATATTCCAAATATTTGCATGAAAAAACACGTGTTAAGAGAGAGGTGAATCTCCTAAATAAATCTTTAAATACTCTTAAATGTTTGAAGAATTAATTATTAATTTTTGGTTAAGAGTTATCTTTATTTTAAAAAAATAACATATAGGAATATATTGACCACTTTTGAGGACTAAAATGACTATTTAGTTAATAATAGAGTGAATGTGTGTGATTGAAGAGACATGAAAGAAAAGAGAAGTAAAAAAACTATTTCATACACAAGTCTTATCTGATTATTTAGTGGAACTTAATGACTTTTTTTTTCTTTTGATAACGAAATTGACCACTTCAGTAGTTCACTTGGTTCTGTAATACTGTTACTACTTTAATATAGGATAGGATCTGATAAACTAGTGTAGGAAAAGACGTAGCACACAATCATTATTGCGCATCACTAAGTTAGTGTTTGTTTTCAGGGATTTACTGTTCACGAGCAAGGAAAGACGAAGAAAATTGTTGTTTGTTTCCAGTGATTTGCGACGACAGAAAGGCGAAGAAAAGGGGGGAGAAGCGTGGTTCGCGTCCTCGCACAAAAGCGAAGAAAGGAGAAGAAAACCACGTAGGATTTGTGAAAACTCAGAAATGCCCCTGTCCCATGCATGCATAATCGATTATACGAAGGAAATGCATATATAATCGATTATACGAAAGAAGCATAATCGATTATGTGGCCAAGCATAATCGATTATGCTGGGGTATTTTCGCTTGCAGCGGAACCTAGAACGGGCCATTCCATAAATGAATTTTATGAGTAATATGCATACGCCGTTCCACTTTGGGAACGGGACGTTCCAATTTTGGAACGGGCCGTTCTGGGTAGCAAATTTTGGGAAAGGAAATGAGTCCAGAACGGGCCGTTCCACTTTTGGAACGGTGGAACGGGCCGTTTTTAATCCAAGAGTAAAAGTGTAAATTATATATTCATCTATTAAATTTTTAATTTTTATCTATCATTAAATTTAAAGTAAATATTTAAATTAAATTATTTTTAATTAATATTTTATAATTTTTTTAATTAAAATTTATATATTTATCTTTTAATTATAATAATTATAAACTTTTTTTTAACTTAAGGATAAAATAGTAATCTTACACAATTAATTAAAAAATTTATTTTTATCTATCACATCAATCAATTCACTCACAAACTTTCACAAACTTTCTCTACACTTTCCACTCACTTTCCCTTAATCCAAACAACCTCACTTTCCACTCACTTTCCGTTCAAATCCCTCTTTTTCCACTTCCCTTTTCCATCCTCAAATCCAAACAAAGCATATCTGAGTAAATAAATCAGACCCCAGAATATAAATAAATATTCTAATGCTATTCCGTATTTCAGTCGTTTTCTTTTCGTATTCCCTCCCCAATAATGACAAGTCAGAAAAGTTAATAAAAAACAACTTCTATATATTTTAAGCCATTTAATAAAGGGTTATTTTGCAAAGTAAACTTCTTTTTTTATGCATACGTTAGGTGAGCCTAATTTATTTGGTAATAATCTTTAAAAACAAATAAAGGAAGTGGATAACATTCGAAAGATTTTGTATTAACTCTGTGAAAAATGTTTAACATTTATTTAAAGTTAAAGATAAGTAAGATTAAGAAGTTGATTATGTAAATAAAAAATAGCAATTTATCAAAATTTCAACATTCATAAGTCATTTTGTAAAAATTGTTGATAGTATCACATGCTAACAACAAAATTTTCAAATATATATTTTCATTAATTAAAAATATTAAAAATTAGTGGGCCTCAAATCATATTTAATAGTTCTCCTTTGATATTTTAGTTTTCAATAATTTTAAGCAAATAAAAGTGAAAGTGTCACTAACTCCTCTTATAAAATTGAAAGATAAAATTGTATAATTATAATAGTTAAAAATGAAAAGTTAAAGAATTAAAAATAGATATTAGAGGAGGAGGAATGGTGAAGAATGAAGATGGGCGAAGCGTGGGAGTGAAAAGTGAAAAGTGAGCACATGCGATGTGCGGAATTGCAGAGTCAGAGTGGGCATGAAGAAGAGTTGAAGTTGGTGTAACTACGTGTTCTTATCTCATTCGTTCTCTTCTTTCCTACTTAACCCCCCTTCTTGCTTTCCCTTTTTCATTCATCATACTCTCCGATCGCACCTCCTCTCCCAACTCCCAACTCCCAACTCCCAACCATGGCGGAAAAGGTACATCATTCTCTAAATGCTTTTTTTAAATATTTCATTTTTATGAATACGCTCAATTCAATTCCATCTTCCTCATCAGCTCACCATAATGAGGCTCAAGGTTGATCTTCACTGCCCCAAATGCTACAAGAAGGTCAAGAAGCTCCTCTGCAAATTCCCTCGTCAGTCTTCCTCAATTCTCAATTCTCAATTCTCAATTCTCAATTCTCAATTCTCAATCAATCCCTCTTTTTTTAATTACAAATTTACTTAACTTATATATCTTATAGTCGTAATTCTAATTTAGTAGATTTTATTTTTTGAGCAACAGAAATCCGAGACCAGGTGTACGACGAGAAGAACAACATCGTCACAATCACGGTCGTCTGCTGTAGCCCTGAGAAGCTAAGGGACAAGCTTTGCTGCAAAGGTTGTGGTGCTATCAAAAGCATTGAAATTCTCGAACCTCCCAACCCCAAACCACCCCAGAAGCCCAAGGACCCCGAAAAGCCTAAGGAACCAGCCAAGCCCAAAGAGCCTGAGAAGCCCAAGGAGCCTGAGAAGCCCAAGCAGCCTGAAAAACCAAAGGAGCCTGAGAAGCCCAAGGAGCCTGAAAAGCCTAAAGAGCCAGAGAAGCCCAAGGAGCCGGAGAAGCCCAAGGAGCCAGAAAAGCCCAAGGAAAAGCCCCCGCCGCCTCCGGAGCCGAAGCCTGAACCCCCTCCTCCGATGCCGGTGTGTCCTCCGCCGGCAGCACCGCCGCCGGTGGCGGGTCCAATCCGGGG